GAAAGAGAATCATTGATCGGCTGCCTGCTGCACCCTCTGCCTCCTGGGGATCAAGCCCACAACCCAGGCATGTGCCCCAACTGGGAATCAGATCATTTCCTGGTTCACAGGTCGATGCTCAACCACTGAGCAACACTGGCCAGGCTCCACCCCCATCTTTAGTGGAAAGGCTAACTTATCTCCCAGTTAACTTTTTAAAAAATCCTCACTTGAGGATACGTTTTTATTGATTTTTAAAGAGAGGTGAAGGGAGAGAGTGAGAGAGAGAGGGAGGGAGAGAGAAACATTGGATTGGTTGTGTCCTGTATGAGCCCCTTCTGGGGATCAAACCCACAACATAGGTATGCCCTGACCGAGAATCGAACCCTCAACCTTTTAGTGTATGGCCAACTCTCCAACTAACTGAGCCACCTGGCTAGGTCATCCAGTTAACTTTTTGTACTTTTATATATGAGTAGACAGTGAAGGATTGTCAGACACTTGACAACCATTAAATAAGAGAGGTCAAAACAATGGGATAAAAAAGGAATGTAGAAGAAACAGACAATGTAGGGAGAAAAAACCCACCTTACACACACACAAACCATATAATAGAGAAGATAAATTGCATCCATGAAACAAGAAAAGTATCTCAGAAAAAGAATGGTCAGAGAACAGTCTCTATATATAAAAGCCTAAGCAACTGTTAGGATGGAATGACCGGAATGACTGGTCGTTATTCACTCACTGCCAGGGGGCAGACGCTCAGCACAGAAGCTGCCCTCAGCCCTCTGGCCCCGATCACTGATGGGGCCTGCTGGCCAACCTCCCGGTTCCTCCCCCAGCCAGCAGGCCCTCGGGCTGGGATGGGGAACCGGGGATGGGTGATGGCATGCAGGCAGTGAGGAAAGGAGGAGGTGGGGAGGTGTGGAGGCAGAGAACCTGATTGGCCCTATCGGACCCTAGGGACCCCACCGGTGCACGAATTTCATGCACTAGGCCTCTAGTGAGAAATAATTCTTGGAAAGCCAACATTTAAGATAACTAAAACAAATAAAAGATGTCAATAGGTGAAGAGTAGATCATCATTAATAAAATTTCCCCAGATCATTAAACTATAATGCAAAAATAAAAAATGTGACACTGTCTGGTTGTCTCCACCCCTAATTTATGACAGGATTACCTAGTGTACTTCATTTATCAGTTTTCTATCATTGTCTTTAAGATAAATCTTTTTTCTAAAATAACTTTGTTTCTAATATGTTTTAGGAAAAATATAAACATGATTATGAGTACCTTTTTAAGTTTTGTTTAATAGGTTGATTCTTTTTTTAATGCCCTTTAGGAAGTAGGAAGAAAGAGAAGGAACGGCCAGAAATTTCTCCTCCTTCTGATTTTGAGCACACCATCCATGTTGGCTTTGATGCTGTTACTGGAGAATTCACTGTAAGTTTACCTACTTGGGACTCATTTTTATATCATCACTCAAGCTTTTCCATTCAGTAGTAAGTTTGAAGTTAACTTTCCTATCCACATATTAATTATGAATTCTTAGTGCTTTTCTCTTCTAAAAGGATTTGTGGATGGATGTATCCTTTTCCTAGGGAACGGCAACTATTATTTGTAATTATGCAAAACAGATTTAGATAAATAGACCTTTAGAAAACTAGGCTTTTTAGAATTTAGTCAAACCTATAGTTAATATATGTATTTCATCATTCACCTCTGGAAATTGATTTTATTGGAGCAACTCTAAACAGCTAATTCCTGACTGTCTTGTTTTTAGGGCATGCCAGAACAGTGGGCTCGATTATTACAGACTTCCAACATCACCAAACTAGAGCAAAAGAAGAATCCTCAGGCTGTGCTGGATGTCTTAAAGTTCTATGACTCCAACACAGTGAAGCAGAAATATCTGAGCTTTACTCCTCCAGGTAAGCTATCAATTCTGATTCACATGAGATTGCAGAGTTGTGAAACTCTTCAAAATAAAAAGATTGCTTATGGGGGAAAAAAAACACCTAAGCTGTAGTTTTTGTCTCCACTTTTCCCCTTGCATCTACCATTCATTCATTCATTTATTTATTTATATACAAATAAATATATTTATATTTTTTTCCTCAGAGAGGAAGGTAGAGGGAGAGAGAGAGAGAAACATCAATGATAAAAGAGAATCATTGATTGGCTGCCTCCTGCACACCCCACACTGAGGATCGAACCTGCAACCCGGGCATACGCCCTGACCAGGATTTGAACCGTTACCTCCTGGTTTGTTGGTCGATACTCAGCCACTGGCTGGGCTAGATCTAGCTTTTATAAACTGACTGTAACAGCTCTTATGCATAATCTCTTAACTTTGACAAAAGTGGATATTTTGGCCTTTTGTTTATTTGTTTTTCTCTTTACGTCTTTTGAATGACTTCCAGCAATAGAAGGGAAAAATGCTGATTTATAGTTCATACTAGAAATATATTTATTGCTAGTGGGACAGGAGAAGGATTGTATTACTATGTAAATGCACAGACTTTGAGAGAAAAAATGTTTAAGTCCACTCAAAAATTGAAACATCAAATGTATGAAAAAAAGCATTAGACTCAAAGAAGTTATTTCTCAAAATTGAAATATCATCAGGCAAGACTAGAATAATAGTAGATTTTATAAAATAGTTTGTTTGAATCAGTATCGGAATAAAGTTCCTACATTGTAGTTGATTGCTATATCTCTTGAATCTTTTTTGATATTTAGGCTTTTTTGATATTTAGGCTTCCTCTCCCTCATTCTGATTCTCATGGTCTCTTTTCATTGTAATTTATTTGTTAAACAAACAAGATCATTTGTCTTGTTTCCCTAGTATGGATTTTACTAATTATATCCCAAGGTGTCATTTAATATGTTTCTTTGTCCTCTGAAGTCATACGTGTAGTTTTTAAAAACAATGTGATAGAGCTAAAATCATCTAGTATTAATTGTACTTAATTTGATTGCATCATTGCAGAAATAGAGACCACTTGGCAAATGATTTTAATTTTTTTTTTTACTTAGTCTAGTACATCCTTAGCAAAAGGTTAAACTTGTCCCTGAACTTTTCTGTCAACTAGTAAGTCTGTGTAAATTAGTAATCTTTTTTAAAATCATGTTTGACCAGAAAATTACATATATTTCATAGATATTATATATGCATCTTAAAAAGTAAACCAAAAAAAAACTTACCCTTCTAAATTGCAGAATGAGTATTTTATTTTATTTATTTTTTAATACATTTTTGTGGATTTCAGAGAGGAATGGAGAGTGAGAGAGAGATAGAAACATCAACTATGAGAATCACTGATCGGCTGCCTCCTGCACGCCCTCCCACTGGGGATCGATCCCACAACCAGGCATGTGCCCTTGACTGGAATTGAACCCGGGACTCTTCAGTCTGCAGGCCAATGCTCTATCCATTGAGCCAAACTGCCTAGGGCAGGAATGAGTATTTTAATATTTAATCTTTATGAATTGGTTTTGCCCTCAGGGATTTGCTTTCATACTCATCACAATTTATATCAAGCATTGCCCTTTGCACATTTTGTCTGCATGGTTGGGTGCTTTAAGTTCCTCAATAGGCAGTTTTCTGGAGACAGTATCATTGTGAATAAGCTTCTGTTTTATTTAATAAATACAGGTTGACAGGTATAGTTTCAAATAAATTTTTAATAACTTTATTAAGGTATAATTTACATGCTATAAAATTCACCCACTTAAAGGATACAGTTCAATGATTTTAGTAAATTTACATTAAGACTGGAGATTTGGCCGAAACCAGTTTGGCTCAGTGGATAGAGCGTCGGCCTGCGGACGAAGGGGTCCCAGCTTCGATTCCAGTCAAGGGCATGTACCTGGGTTGCGGGCACATCCCCAGTGGGAGATGTGCAGGAGGCAGCTGATCGATGTCTCTCTCTCATCGATGTTTCTAACTCTCTCTCTCCCTTCCTCTCTGTAAAACATCAATAAAATATATTTTTAAAAAAAAAAGACGAGATTTGTCGACTGAAACTTATATAAATTCTTGTTTGAATACAGGTATTGTCAGTTTTCTCAAGACTTAATTCAATTTAAAATCAGTCTAAACATTTTACTTGCTCTGCTTTCTATTATCTTTTATTTTTTAAGCGTTTTATTTTTTGAAATGTTAACTTAGCATTATTTTCTGTTTCATATTCAGAGAAAGATGGCTTCGCTTCTGGAACACCAGCAGTGAGTTAATATGTTATTTCTTATAGCTCTTGTTATAACTTGTTTCCCAAAACAAATTTCAGCTTTTATTTTGCTTTCTAAAATAAATTACAACCATTCGAAATAAATAACTACTTAATATATGTTTTAGCCAGCCACTTAATTAGTTGAGGAAGCCAGGTTAAACCAATAGAATATCCCTGATATGATACTCCAACTGCTAAAACTTACTATGATCGAGAGCAGTTTAGCTACTTTTGGTAATGTTTCTGTACATAGACATGAATACAAAGAACTGCTAGCTTTTTCCTCTGGCACCATTCTACTGAACATAGCCTGTGGAACGTACTGAACAACAGGGAAGCCTGTCAGTCTTCAGAGTTGACTGAAACTTTGTAAGTTACCATGCAAGCACAGTTACCTCCTGCAGAGTCATTGTTTATTTTCAATTCCTCAATTAGAGGGAACAGTCTCCTGGGGTTAATATGAAGGTTAACTGGGGTAACATGTAAAGTACCTATCTAGCACACACCTGGCACATAATCTCTGTGTAAAGGTTGTTAATACCTTCCTCTCTTGCTTCATTAGCCATCATTTTTTCTGGTGAATGTAGCTGTTTTAAATGACTGAAAATGAATCTGACTTACACAAAGCCTAGAGGATTCTTGTTTTTGGTCTTAACAAAGTGATTGTTTACTAAAGGATTTGTTAAGGGGTATAAAATTCTCTATATAAAAGGTATACATTCTCTTTTAAGAATAGTTGATATTTATCACATATATTTATTTCATAAACTTACTTTACTTACAGAATTGCCTTGATGTTCTAAGTGATTCAATTAGAGTAAATGAGGATTTACTGTTTTGAAATGAGCTATTAAAATAAATATTTTTAAAAATATGTTAAAAGAGATTCATATTTTAACATATTGTTAAATTTGGCATGTCTTCCTTACCTTTGCTCGTTGATAAATGCAGTTGAATACCAAGGGATCAGAAACATCAGCAGTAGTAACAGAGGAAGATGATGATGATGAAGAGGCTGCTCCTCCCGTGATTGCCCCACGACCTGATCATACAAAATCAGTGAGTGTCTTATTAGTGAATTGGGCTGTGTATGTGTGCATGTGTGTTTTAAAAAGCAGTCTGTACTTGACTTCCATTGATCAATTAAAGAAAGCCCTCATGCTTAAAATATTTTAGTGTGGGGAAATTTGACTAGGAGATCTTTACCTAAAGACCACTCATCAAAAAACTAGCTATATATATATTTAGTGATTTCAGGGAGGAAGGGAGAGAGATAGAAACATTGATGAGAATCATTGATTGGCTGCCTCCTACACCCCTCCTACTGGGGATCAAGCCCACAACCCAGGCATGTGCCCTTGATCGGAATTGAACCTGGGACCCTTCAGTCCATAGGCCAATACTCTATCCACTGAGCCAAACCGGCTAGGGCAAAAAAACTAGGTTTTTTGAAAATTAAAATCAAATGAGTTCTTTAAAATACAAATACTTATTGTTTTTTATTTTTTATTGAATTTATTGGGGTGACATTGGTTAATAAAATTACTTACTTTATCTCCCATTTTACAATCCTCTCAAAACCTAATGTCATTCAAGGGGCTTCTAAGAGTGAATTCCTAAACAGATATAGAACTTTAACCATAATGACCTTAGGTAGAGAGAAAAGGAGTCCTGTCCCTCTCCCTGTACTAATAGAAGTAGGGGAAGGTGCTGTGCACGGCGTCAGGGAGTGGTGGTACACTTGGCAGGTAAAGCTCTGAGGACTGCCAGTGCATCCTGGTCTAATGATTGAGGGCTCTGTTTTCTTTATATCCTGGAACTGCCTGTTGGAAATGAAAGGATAGAAATCATATTTGTGCAAAAATTTGGGGGATATTAAGTTATTTTAACATCAAGGTTTATTTCTCTTTTGTGGTAAAGACATGATTTTAAACTTTTTGCTTCATTACTAGCGTATCATTTTATTTTATTTTTTGTTAATCCTCACCCAAAGATATTTTTCCACTGATTTTTTTTTTTTTTTGATGGAGTGGAAAGGAGGGAGGGAGACAGAGAGAGAATCGATGGATGTAGGAGAGACACATTGATTATTTGCCTCCCGCACGTGCCCCAACCAGGGCTGGGGATTGAGTCTGCAACCTAGCTATGTGCCCTTGACCAGAATCGAACCCAGAACCCTTCAGTCCACTGGCCAATGCTCTATTCACTAAGCCAAACTGCCTAGGGCTCTAGCATATCATTTTAGATCTGATTACTTTTAAATTTCATTCAAGGATCTGCTCTTTTGCTAGAAAAATTTAAAAGAAAGACATGATGTACGGAATAAAAATGTTTCACATTTATTCTTAGTTACAAGTCGGGTTTTTTTCTACAAATCTTTTTTAAAGACAGATCTGAAAATACTATTCTCATTCTTTAGAACACTGGAGACAACTTAGTTTTTGGTTAAAAATCAAAAAAGTGAATAGTGTGCCAGTAAAAATACATAAAAACATTTTCCCTCAAGTCTCAGTAATTAATTCTCTCTTTGCAGATTTATACACGGTCTGTAATTGACCCTATTCCTGCACCAGTTGGTGATTCTAATATTGATGGTGGTGCCAAGTCTTCTGACAAACAGAAAAAGAAGACCAAAATGACAGATGAAGAAATTATGGAGAAATTAAGTATGTATTCCCTACATTTTTCATTATTCTGAAATTATTGACAGCTCCTGAAACATTTGGCCCAGATGGATATGTATGTATGTATGTATTTTTAAACGCTCCAAATAGCTGTTTATTTTATTTATTTTTTTAAATCCTCACCTAAGGATATTTTCCCATTGATTTTTAGAAAGAGTGGAAGGGAGAGGGAGAGACAGAGAAACACCGATGTGAGAGATGTGAGAGAGACACATCAATTGGTTGCCTCTCAGATGTGCCCCGACCAGGGCCGGGAGTCTTCAACTGAGGTACATGCCCTTGACCAGAATTGAACCTGGTACCTTTCAGTCTGCAGGCTGAAGCTCATATCCACTGAGCCAAACCAGCTAGGGCTGGCCCAGATGGATTTTAATTTATACCATATATTTTACCTTAAGACATAAAGAATAAATTGTTGACTTCTAGGAACAACTTCAATTAAAATCTGAAAAAGCTCCCAAAATATTCTTCTTTGATTATTTATTATTATGTGTTGACTAATGAGCAACTTCTCTCCAATAATTTAGTACCTTTGGAGCAACACTTTTTCCCAAAGGGCCAAATCTAAGATTCACAGTTGGAAACTTTATCAAAGGAAGTTTGTATATATTTATACATACCTATAGCTTCTCAGTATGAGAATATAAAATGACCTTAAGAACTAAACAAAGTGGCCTTCCTGTATGGATATATTTGTAAACATAAAATGGATTTTTTTTCATCCATCAGCTATCATTGGCCTGGATCAAGCATTGGAAATAATTTACATAGTGCCAGGGAGAGAGTAATGATAATGTCTGATTTGCAGGTCTATAGCAACTATAGCTATAATGAACACCTACATGGAGGGATTAAGAAAAAATACTATAATTATAGTGGCTGTAGACTTGTGGGTTATATGTGAGTTTCCTTGCTATATTCCTGTCTCCTTTCACCTTGAGCAAGTGAAAAAAATTTTTTTGATATATTTTTGTTGATTTCAGAGAGGAAGGGGGAGAGACAGAGATAGAAACATCAATGATGAAAACGAATCATTGATCGGCTGCCTCCAGCACATCCCCTACTGGGGATCGAGCCTGCAACTCGGGCATGTTCCCTTTACCAGAATTGAACCTGGGACCCTTCAGTCCTCAGGCCGACACATTATCCACTGAGCCAAACCAGCTAGGGAAAGCAAGTGAAAATTTGGTTTTCTCATGTTTTCACTTACTGGTAATAAAAGTATAAGTTATAGTTTTATGTCCAACAGCCTAGTTCTAAAACTTTTTTCTTACTTGTAACTTTGTGACCGTTCCTAAAACAGATGTGTGCTTATCTCATATTAGAGTAATTTTTATACTGATAAGTAGTTTTCTAAATACATTGTAAGATCAAAGGTATATTTGTATAGTCAGAAAAGCCAATTAGGGTTATTCATTTGGATATTATTTATATATTGAAGGTTTTTTAGTGTTTGTGGTTGAAACACAGTATTTTGAGATTTAATGTAATGTTTGAAAAACACTATTCTAAAATCAATGGAGTTTATTAAAAGGAATAATTACATCAGAATTAATTTACAATTTAAAAATGCTTGACTGAGCTTATAATTTTTTGTTTTTTTGTTTAAAATAGGAACTATTGTGAGCATAGGTGACCCTAAGAAAAAATATACAAGATACGAAAAAATTGGGCAGGGGTAAGTATTTGTGACTGTATTATCACTATATTCAATACTTACTGGAGGTACAGCATGGTATCTCTTTTGCTTGCTGACATTGAGCACTTATAATATTCTCTGAGTGATGTCCTTAGATTTGTGTAAATAAGTAATGTATTTCTTTTTAGGTGCTATGAAAAAACTATTATTTAGCAACAACTGTACATTGTTTTGTGTGGTTTTTTTTTCTTTTTATTGATTTTAGAGAGAGGGAAGAGGGAAAAAGAAACAAACATCAATTTGTCGTTCCACTTAGTTACGCATTTATTGGTTGATTCTTGTATGTACTCTTCCCAAATTGAACCCCCAACCTTGGCATATCAGGATGATGCTCTAACCAAGTGAGCAACCTAGCTAGGGCACGAGTATACATTGTTTCTTCTTAAATGATATTTCCCATTGGTAATAAGAGATTAGATGGGTGGAAAAATTGTCCTTCAAATATATTTAAGACTGTAGGAACATTTACTACAATATTATAGGCAATAAAAACATACATTTTAATTACATCTATTTACTATCTTTGAATCTACTGATTATTTAATTTTGTCCAGTAATTTGTATTTTTAAACTATATTAACTAAACACTTTGCCTGTTGCTTAGGAACAGATGAACATCTGGAACTTTTAATGTTATTAATCTCTGGAAAATGTTCTGTGAATTTAGAAAGAGAGCTTAACATTATTTTTGAAAGTTTCCTTATGAATTTCTTTTTAAAAACTTAATTTAATTGCAGCACTGGTTTTAATAACAAAAATTAAGAATCACATTTTAAGCATGATAATGGATAAATTGTAATACTAGTAAATGGAATGATACAGGTTGAAGCAAGCATACGTTTATAGGTGTTTGTATAGAAAAAAAACAATAATTAATAAATAATAATACAAGAATGAACTGTGTTTCGTGTACTCACAACTGTAAACCTACTTTTGCCCCATCTTGTATATTTAATAATTATGAGTAAATAAGAATGATATCTAACAAAAAGCAAAGAGGGGAAAAAGAACAGGAAAGAATAAAATCTATTTCGATGACCATCCCAAATTCAATGTTATAAGAGAAAATTGCAGAAAAAATACATAAAGTTAAATCATTTTTATGAAGTTTAAGAATTATGTTAACCTTGGCCCATGTAGCTTGATTGAGCATTGTCCTATGCACTGAAGGATTGATGGTTTGATTCCTAGTCAGGGCACATGCCCAGGTTTCAGGTTCAATCACCAGTTGGGGTGCATGCTGGAGGCAGCTGATTGATGTTTCTCTCTTGAATAGATGTTTCTTTCTCCTCTCTCCATCCCACCCCTTTTCCTTCCTCTCTTCTAACATCAATTTTAATTTTAAAATGTATTTTAAAAAGCATGTTAAATATATTCTGTAGAGATACATATCTGTGTTCTTTGTAGATAAAGTATAGAGAAATGCATGGAACTGACATACATCAAATACAAAATGAACAAGTGCACATTACTTTGGGGAAGAAAGAGGATGCCTTTAGAAAGGGCTCACAAAAACCTTCAGATTTATTTGTAGTCCTTTGTTGTTGTTTAAACATATTTTTATTAATTTCAGAGAGGGAGTGGGGGGAAGAGAGAGAGATAGAAACATCAGTGATAAGAGAAAATCATTGATCGGCTGCCTCCTGCATACCCCCTACTGAGGGTCAAGCTCACAACCTGGTCATATGCCCTTACCTGGATTTGAACCCTGACCTCCAGGTTCATAGGTCGATGCTCAGCCACTGAGCCAAGCAGGCTGGGTTAGTTCTTTGTTTTTAAATTAGGGAAGTGGATCCATGGGTATATGTTGCTTTTTTCCCCCCTTTATCTTTTTTCTCTATTTTTGTAGATATGAAATTCGTGACAAATTTCTAACCTACGTTTTGGCCACAGGGATTGCTTCTTTTTTTTTATTTTTCTCCCTTTTTATTTTTACTTTTGTTTTACTCTATTTTTATTTTGTTTTTACTCTTGTTAAAGATGTATTTAAGTCTTAAATGTTTAATCCTTTTTCAGTTCTAAGTATAAAGTCTTTGGATATTATAAATGGTAGTGATTTAGAAACCTTAAATCTGGTTGTGTTTTTTTCCTCCTAGGGCTTCTGGTACAGTTTTCACTGCTACTGATGTGGCATTAGGACAGGAGGTAGCTACTTTTTCATTGTTCTGGGTGTTACCATTAGGTTTTAGTACAAGAGGAAACTGGATGAACCTGTGACTAATCAATAAAAATCTTTTTCAGTTGGATATGTTGAATTATTCTACATAATTTTATTTTCTGTGTAATTTTATAGCACTTTATTAAGGGGGGGAACAATTAATGCATTGTTTCATAAATAAGCAAATATTTGAAAAATTATTTTCCCAGCTTGGAATGAGCTGACCTTGGGTTGGTTAATCAGCTTTAAGAGAAATCTAAAAACATCTGGGCTCTATATATTACAAAGTTTTGTGCATAGGCAGTGTGGAAATAAAAGTACTACCTAATTATAAATTATAATTATAACAACTAATTATTATAATTTCATTAAATAACATACTAGTATACAATAAAATTTGTAATTTTATAAGAGAATTAGGAAACTTCTAATTTTTAAAAAATTCTATTGCCATTACAGGTTGCTATCAAACAGATTAATTTACAGAAACAGCCAAAGAAGGAATTGATCATTAATGAGATTCTGGTGATGAAAGAATTAAAGAACCCCAACATAGTTAACTTCTTGGACAGGTAAATATGAATGTTTCTTAAGCATTGGGACAAAAATGTGAAAATTTTAAGTCTCATGGTTTTGGGGGTTAGTCACTTTAGTGAAACCACAGTAGAATGCCAATGCTGAAAAGTAAGCTTAAAGGATAAGGAGGTAAAAATAGCACATTTGCAGTTTAACATAAATATTACTTAGCAAGTGAGAGAAGGCAGTTAAATGAAAGACATTGCTGCTAGCATTAATATTAATTATAAATGTTCAGAAGCAGAAACATTAAGAGAAGGTGATTCATATATTGACCAACAGAGGTGACAGGCCACATAGTTTTTAAACTTTTAGGTGAATTTTTATTTCAAATGCTTTTATGAGCAAATGCTATGTCTCTCAAAACCTTATTTAATTTAGGAATTGATGTTTTAAAAACATATCTTAAAACTATTGTGCATTTTTTATTTTATTATTATTTTGTTGTTAATCCTCGCCTGAGAATATTTTTTTCATTGCTTTTTAGAGAAAATGGATGGGAGGGGAGGAGAGGGAGGGAGAAAAAGAGAGAGAAACATTTATGTGAGAGAGAGACATCTATTGGTTGCCTCCCACACATATCCCAACCAGGGCCATGGATTGAACCTGCAACCCAGGTACATGCCCTTGACCAGGAACTGAACCCACAACCCTTGGGTGCGTAGGCTGACGCTCTAATCATTGAGCAATAGCCAGTCAGGGCATAGCTATTGTGTGTTTTTTAAAAGCAGTTACATACATGTGAATGTAAGAAGAGTAATAGAAAAGTAATGGAAATTATAGTAGTGATTATATTGGAGATAAGGGATTATAGGTGATTTTTCTTATAATGATAACTCATTTTTTAGACTTTAGCCATAGTAATGAGGAACATGTTCATAGAAATAAACTTACCAGATACATTTAAGCATAGTATTTTAAGTTGGTGTATCATGGTGGTTAAGAAAGGCCATAAGCTTTCCGGACCTGGTGGAGCAGAAGGCGCCATTATGGGAGTTGACATCTGCCACAACAAAAACCAAACGTTTGGTGCAAGGAGCCCAAGAGCCAAAACATCTACCCAAGGCTGTTGATTAAGCCGTACAGGTTTCTGGCCAGACAAACCAACTCCACCTTCAACCAAATGGTGCTGAAGAGGTTGTTCATGAGTCCACCAACTGGCCAGCTGGGTCCCTTTCCCCAATGATCCAGAAGAGGAAGCTTCCCTGCCAGAGGACAAAACCACTGTGGTTATAGGGACTAGGTGCCCAATCTGAAGGTTGTGTGCACTTCGTGTGAATAGCCATCCCCTGAGCCACATCCTCAAGGCTGGGGGCCTTTAAGCAGCTGGACCTGGGCTCCCCCAAGGGCTGTGGCTCCATGTTGCTTTCTGGTCCTTGCAAAGACTGAGATGTGTACAGGCATTTGCCCTGGCCCCTGGAACATCCCAGTCACAACAAACTCTATGTATCATCCAAGGGCCAGAAGTTTAGCACGCAAGAGGCTGATGGTCCAGCCCCAGCTACAAAAACTAACCGGATCCTATCTAGTTATTAAAAAGATTTTGGGGGAGGATCTAAGATGGCGACATAGGTAAACACCTGAACTTGCTGCCTTGTACAACCACATCAAAATTACAACTAAAAGACAAAACAGATATCATCCAGAACCACGGGAAGGCTGGCTGAGTGGAATTTATACAACTAGAAGGACGGAGAAAAGTGCACTGAGACTGGGAGGAAGTGAAGAGGTGTGGAAGTATGGAGGCGCGCACGAAACAAGCTGGCAACTGAGTATGCTATTGTCTTTCTCAATCGGGAGAGAGATACAAGCTCCTGACTGCTCTGAACTCCCGTTCTGGGTGAGACTCTGGGGACTCGGACTCACATGGGGGGAAAAACTGGACTGTCTGGCATTGGGCCAGAACAAGAAGGTGGCTTTCTCTCAGAGGTGCTTGCAGCAATCATTGTTCCTGCACGGGGCGTGGAACACAGAGACCCAGGTACCTCTTCAGGGCAGGGATGACAGGCAGCCATTGCTGTTTGCTCTGCCCTGTGGTGATTCCCTGAGACCCTGCCCCACCCAATTTACAACCCCACCCAAGCTGTGCACAGCAACTTTTGCATATGAATGGCCTGGCCTTTTGCAATTTAAAACCTAACAAACTGCAGCTGGGTCAGAGAGCCCCAGAGCTTCCAAAAGAAGGCCCAAGGCTCTACACCACCCTGCATTGCTTCACAGCTGGGCCTCATCTGGGCACCTCCAAACTTAGTTTAACCATTTGACTGCTAAGGAGCGCTATCACGCTCTTCTTATTTAAAACAAATTTATGTAAACAATTGGTATTTTTTAATTTTTGTTGTTGCAAAGCAATACAAGTGAGTTTATTGTATAAAAAGTGTTTTACATTATTTCCCATACACGCACAATTTGTGCCGCAGTTTTGGCATATGTCCGAAAAAATACGTCAGCAGCCAAACGGATAAGAGACACACTCGGGGCAGACTCAGCGAGCACCAAAGCCCCACTGAAGCAAGTCCTGCCCCATAAGGGTGTCTCCTGCACAGCAGCTCTTCCATTGTAGATACAGCTGGTCCTCACAGCCAGTTGGCCTGGAGGTCAATTCCTCCCAGTGATACCAACAGCAGTCAAGGCTTAACTACAACAAGAGTGTGCACACAGCCCACAAAGTAATGCACCAAGAGTGTCCACCTCAGGTAGTTAGGGAGGCTGAGCCATTGGACCCTATAGGACACCTAGCACACAAAGCCACTCTATCAACACAGGGAAGCATAAAAACTGCAGAGACAAACAAACATGTCACAAATGACAAATGGAGGAAAGCAAACTACTGGATATAGAGTTCAAAACCACAGTTATAAGATTACTCAAGAATCTTCTAGAAACCTCTGAGAAATTTAGTGCGATTCTCAAGGGTATGAAAAAGGACTAATTAGAAGTTAAGCATACACTGACTGAAATAAAGAATAATATACAGAGATCCAACAGCAAACTAGAGGATCCCAAGAATCAAGTCAAAGAGTTGAAATACAAAGAATCAAAAAACACCCAACCGGAAAATCAAAAAGAGAAAAGAATCCAAAAATATGAAGATAGTGTAAGGAGACTCTGGAACAACTTCAAGCACACC